GACAAATCCCTATTCCATCCCATCCAGTGTACCAGCCATCGTTCAGCCATAACTTTGGTCCGGATGCAATGTCCATGGAACCTGGTGTCTTCGAAGCGATGTCAACTCTAGAGCCACTGAGCATTCGGGTTGGCACCATTCCCGAGTCGGAAAATCCACCTTCTTTTGGATGATGTTTCTGGTCTATTGCATTGACTCAAAGGATGCTTATGAAGGCACACCATGAAGGCACACCATTTTTGAAGCGCTTATGGCAAACCCGAGTTGTATTGACGCGGATCATCGCCGCTGTTGCGGTCGGTTTTAGGGATTTTTCCATCATTATCCACCCCAGTCAGTGTCCTGGGCACCCCCGTTTCTCGATATTAGAATTGCAGAGACTAAGCGTCGGGGCTACACATATCCCAGGGTTCGACAACATGAGTCTGGTGGAAACAGAGGTAAGTTGCTTAGGTATGAATTGCAGCGTGGTACAACGCGTTGGCTACGGCGACAGAAATCTAACTGGAAAGGCAGTTTACAGAGGAGCATGGTGACGAGGAATTTTTCTATGGCCAGTCAGGCTACGAGGTCTTGCTTAGAGTCTGCCACCACGTCATATACCTGACTGCTCACCAGAATGCTGAGATCAAACAGTGTAGTTGCTGCTGCTGTCTGCGTAACATAGTTAGAAGTCACTCGGCAAGAACTGAACATAAAATCCACACTCGGTGGCCAAGGCGATATCTTTTCTGGATGACAAAAGCTCCATTGGCTAGAGCGTAATTTGAGAGATTCTGGGTAGCCTAGTCGACGGCTCAGAAGTAGCGGCAATTAATATATACATCATAGGTCGATGTATAAGCATGTTGTGTCTACAGTCAAACTATTATCATCAGCGGACCTTGCTCCGCCTCGCTGGGCCAAGTATGCTAGTTGCGGCTTCGCATAGCATGATGAATATAGGCGATATTCATTGGCCATGAAATGGGCATTCGTACAACAGATAATAAAAGTCGCCTGAAGCAGGTGACAAACTCGGAACTTGACCGAGGGCCAGTTTCAATTCATAGACAACTTCAAGCCTCACGACACTGTCAAGGTAAATATCAATAGAAGAGATGACTTGAACCACGGTGCAGTGTGAGCAATCATTTGACACTGAGCTTTGTCATTGGAATTGTTGTAGTACTACGTAGGTACTCCGTAGTTAAGCACGGAGTACTCAAGTGCGGGATATGCTACTGGGCTGGCAACGTGGTCGTGAGACAGGTCTCGGTCAACCTCCGTCGCAGGACTCAGGCACGACCAGACGGCTGGATTTCATCTGGCTCCAGAAGTCAGCATCGCCGTATCAGTATATATTTGGAACAGATCCCACCCGCGTTGGCATTCTTTCGTGTGCACGAAACACCATCTTCCCTGTCACCCACGAGAAATACTAAGCAGCGTTCTGCAGCCCACGACTAACACGGCTTGACATTCCCTGGTCAGGATAACGGACATGCTTGGCTCGAACGATCAGTAACGGGAAGCCATGAGGCTGTGGTCCCTGGCGGCCTTGTGGCCTCGTGGCGCCTTAGCTTATCGAGGCTGAGCCAAAAGCGCGGCGATTGAAGAGCCTTTGGCTGAAGACAAGGCAGGACAAACGTGGCCGCTGGCCATTGTCAAGTACTACCTAGTAGGTATTTAAGTACGGCGGACTCCGTATACGTTCCCATATTGCAGCATGTCATGCTTGCGAAGATACGGGCCAGTTGACTCGTTGTGTGTCGCTGGAGAAAAACGAAGGAACATTGGAGCGCCGACTCCGGTGCACAGGGAGACAGACGCTCCACTGGATGAACAACGACCCGGCGAGCAGGCGACCAGACGACCAGACGACCAGACGGCCCTGTTGACCTTGTTGACCCTGTTAGCTGCATCTGGGCGGATGGCGCATGAAAAGAGGAAGAAGGTCCGTGAGTGGCAGTGGCGCCTGCTTGGCTTTAGGGGCCGGCTTCGGCTTATGCGTGCCGATTAGCCAAGAATCGGAAGGAGGGACGGAGGCTCCTGGGTCGACTAAAACTTCTTCAGCAGTCGGCGAGATGAGCAAACGCCAGGCCGCGCCTCAACGGACCTCAAATGGCCCCAAATGGTCATGGCTGCATCAAGCACCGCCCCACCGACCCTTAGAAGCGAGCCGGGCCTGGTTACGCAGCACTTTGCGGGACCTAGAAGGCAAAGCAACTTGTGGAAGAGAAAGCCTGCTCTGGCAGCCATGCGACACGAGGTGACATATGTCAACCATCGACTGCTCGAGCATGGATGAACGACTTGCAGCTCAGCCAACTTCAATTCCCCGCTAGTAACACTGCATTCGCCGTAACTCGCTCGCTCACTCGCGCATCAGCTGAACCGGAGAATTGCTATGGGACTGCAGGAAACAGACCGAATTTCTACCTTGAAACAAGCCAGCACCCTTCAACCTGATCGATGGATGCTTGTGCTCGCTTGCAAGCAGCGTGAATCGAGTTGAATCTCTAGCTTTTTCTCGCAAAGCGCTCCTGGAGACTATCACCACCATGCGTTGGCTGCCGCCCAACCTTTTTTACGCATTTACCGTTGTTGTCATTGCATTTGGGTCGATTCCAAAAGGTGAGCCTCAAGGATCCGAAGAAACAAACAGTGGTCCCTTGCCTTCTGCCGGTATTGGCAAGGTGAGTACACCTTTCGCTAACGGCGCGTCCTTAAAACCACAGGCTATGATGAAGGCGGCTTCGCTTCAGCGTCAGGGCTCAGGTCCTTTTTGACGGACTTCGGCCTTACAAGAGGACGATGGACTGGCGATCCATCTCAGTTAGCTACTCGGAGAGCTGTTGTCTCATCCTTGGGAGTTCTTGGTGCAGCCATCGGAGCTGGTATGGCCATATACGTCACCGATGTGATTGGTCGACTTCGCACCTGGCAGCTCTTCACGCTTCTGTGGATGACGGGTTTCTTTACTGTCACCTTTGCTTCGGGAAACGTTGGCGTGCTCCTGTTTGCGAGAATCTGGGGGGGTATTGGCGCCGGCGGCCTGACCGTCGTCGCACCGTTGTACTTGTCAGAGATTGCAAAGGCAAAAAACAGAGGCATGATTGTGTCAGTATACATGGTTGTTTTATTAACAACATTGATGCTGGGTAGGCCAACTTCACTTGCCGTGGAACCCGTCGCCTTCACACTTTACTGAGCGCTGACTTCGACATCAGGGTTCTTCATTAGTTACGCCGCCCGCAGGACGATGGCATCAAATCGACAGCAGTACCGAGTTGTTCTTGCTGTGCCCCAGATTCCCGTTGGGATTGCACTTTTCTGCTCACTCTTTTTGCATGATACACCCCGCTGGCTTGCCTCCAAGAACCGGCATGACGAGGCCCTCATTGTCCTGGCCAGGTTGCGCAACAAGTCGATGGAAGATCCTGAGATACAGAGTGAATACCGCGAAATGCAGCAAGAAGTGGTGAGCAAGAATCTCATTCTTGCCGACACGTCGACTTGGACAATCATCAAGGAGGTCGCTACAGTACCCTCTTATCGCAATCGATTCCTGCTCGGCCTCGCGATGCAAACGTTTGCGCAATGGAGCGGTGGCAATGGCATCACTTACTACATTCCCGAAATTTTCCGTCTGGCCGGTATCACAACCAATCGTGCGCTGATCAACGCAGGTGGATACGGCGCTACGAAACTCGTCTTTACCATGGTGTTCACATGGGGATTGATAGATTACTTCGGCCGCCGACGTTGCTTCATGACTGGCTTAGCCATGCAATGCGCAACACACATCTACATGGCCATATACATGGCAATCTGGCGCCGTAGCGATAACCAATCTGCCTCCACCGCAGCCATCGCGTCTGTGTTTGTCTATGCCATCGGCTGGTCTATTGGCCTCTGTACAGTTCAGTACCTCTACGGGACAGAAATCCTACCGACGCGTGTCCGGGGAGTGTGCTATTCGGTGAATATGATGGCTCACTGGCTATTTCAATTCGCTGTTGTGCGAACCACGCCCCCAATGTTTAGAAACCTCGACGTCTGGGGAGCTTATGTATTTTGGGCACTTGTTTGTTTCATTGGCTTGATTGTGCTCGGCATATGGGCACCTGAGACAAAGGGAGTGCCATTGGAAAGGATGGGCGAATTATTTGAAGGCCCGTGGTACAAGACGTGGAAGGCCAAGGTCAATATGAACGGTGACGGGGAGTCGTTGCACTTGCAAACCAGTCGGGACTCGGTAGTTGACCAGCATGAGAACCGGAATAAGGCATCAGTGGATTGATGGCCCTTTTGCACTGAGTCTCCAGTATTGAGTCTGTACTTGGAAAGATCTCTGAACTGTATTTATTGCTGGTAGAATTTACAGCCGCTGTTTTTAAAGATTTACATGCTTTCAACATCCTCCAATCGCCAATATGCTTCATCTTCGCATGGAGACGACATTGAAAGATGTCGTTCTTATGTACCATACAACATGATGCTTCGTACATGTGATACAACTCTTGGTTGTTATAGCTTGCTCTTGCTTCCTTGTACTAGGTCATGTGTGATGAATCTTGCATAGACTTAGCCTTAGCCTCAGCTCAGCGAGAAAATGCTTCTGACACCACCGCCGTGTAAAATCATCTAATTAAAGCACACACCGCCTTCTTCCGTGTGAGCCAATCTTCGTCTAACGTCGTAGGAGATTAGTACCCCAATGCATGTCTGTATATCAGACCATCTTGGTACGACTTCCTGTGTGGAGAAGAGGTGACGATAGCCAGATCCACTAGCATTACACCAGGCATGGGCATGGGATCGACTCGATCCCTGGCTATGGTCAAATCTAACAATCCAAGGTCAACGATTGGATGCCAATTTCTCTTTTTTTTTTTCTCTTCGCGATTCAATACAGGGTTGGTGGAGGCAAAAATGGACCTTGAGTGACATCCTTTATTGTACGGAGTACGCATGATATTATCGTTATTGCCGCAATCACTCAAATTGAAGGCGCGCTAATACGGCTCTAGAATATATGAGCCCATTTTTCGAGGTGGCACTTGAGCCTGGAACATGCGGTCAATTTCGTCAAATGTACGGCCTTTGAGTTCTGGGATGTAGAAGAAACTCCATGCCGTGGCAATGGTTGCCAGCCCTCCAAATATGAAACCGACTTTGCCCCTAAGATGACCCTCATCTGGATTAATCATGTAAGAAATAGTAAAGTTGAATATAATGCCCATGATGGCCTGGGTGCCGGTTGCCAACGCCATGGTTGGGGCGCGGAGGGAGGTGCTGCTGGCTTCGCCGAGGATGGTAAAGGCCATGGCTCCAAGCGAAGTAAAGTAGACGAAGGCATAGATGGCAGTCAGAGCCGCCTGAACCCACTTAGCCGCACTGGTATGGATGACGTCTAGAATACCAATAAGAAGAAGAATGGTGGTCATGAGGACCATGCCACCGGTGAATATTTTGCGGCGGCCAAGGGAGTTGACAATGAACCAACTGAAGATGTTACCCAAAAGACCACAAGCAGTAACACCAACTCCTAGATCAAAACTCTTGCTAGGGGGCAGGCCAGCCAACTGAAAGAAGTAGGTGGAATATCCCATAACAAAAATAATACCAACAAAGTGCTGACAAGCAAAAACGCCGGTGCTGATTGCGGTTCGGAGACGGTCGGTTCCTCGGAAACATTGAATAATGGACCCTTGCTGGTATTTCGCAGCTTCCTCCTCCGCAATAGTAGCCTTGAGAGTCACCCATTTCGCGTTAATATCTACACCTGAACCGTAAAGCTTGCAGAGAGATCGCTTGGCTTCTTCTCGCTTGCCTACTCGAGCGAGATACCATGGCGTCTCTGGAGCAAAAGGAAGGAAGGCCAGGAGAAAAGCGCAGAAAAAGAGTTGTATAGCAAAGGGAGCTTGGTATGCCCAGCGGGATGTCCATTCTCCGAACGCCTTGATAACGGCATTGGATAATAGCTGGCCAGAGCCCAGGCCAAACTGCACACCAGCAGTCGAGATGCCTCGGAAGACAACTGGCGCACACTCGGAGGTAGCCAAAGGGGCTAGGGTCAAGTAGAACCCCAAACCGAAACCCAGTATAAGCTTAGAGACAACAAAGGCTGCTCTAGCAGTCGAGAAAATTTCCCCTAAAATCCCGGCAGTCACAATAGCAACACCCACGAACAGAGCCCGCTTTCGGCCAATCCTGTCGGCTAACCACGCACATAGGAAACCGCCAAAGAATTGTCCAACAGATGAGACCGTATTAAACGCAGTTTGCCAATCTGCAGGTAAAACGGCTTCCCCATCGTAGATGTATCCAAAGTCCCGTCGAAACGACTCGACCGAAAGCATCCCGCCGTTGACTTGCGCATCAAAGCCCCTGTGCTCATGTCAGCCAGCCTCAGTGAAACAGTACCTCGTAAGAGCTTGCGACCAGACACAATTCGCGCAATGATACATTTAGTTGTTACCAAATTTACGGAGGACGCTAAGGACACTGAGATATAACGTGGTATTCTGCGTGATAGGCCGGTATCATACTCGGCTGTCTCTGGACTACCACAAGAAATTTGTCTTACCAGCCTACACCAGCCATTGACCAGTAGAATGACCACCATATGAGGGCTGGGTGACGATTGAAGACGTCCTTGATGGTGAGCTCGTGCTCTAGCAGATGACAGGTGCGAACGGTCTCGGGTTTGAAGCTGAGTTCTCCAACACCCAAAACACGGGCCTCGAGTGTATCAGACTTGTCCTTGGTGTCCATGGCTCTGTGAAGTGTGAGAGACCTTTGAGATTTAATGAACCCGAGTAAGCCCAGGGCGGTGGTGCTCTCGCCCGCTAAGGAGAGCCAATACGCCAAAACTGAACACTTTGTCGTTAAAACTTGGAATAGAGCTGAAGCCGATAACTAGGGCCACCATCATTTAATAATGGAGCTACAGCTTTGCAGATAGACAAACCGCGCTATGTCATGCAACACTGCCACATGCGACTCCCAATTGTGAGACGTGAGGTTCGGACCGACTCGTTGCTATGCAGAAGAGACTTGAGTGAGAATCCGGGGTAGAGGCACATGGCAGACGGGTTTGTGGGGGAAGTATGCGGAGGGCGACACTCCCCGAGGTATCATCGAGAAGAACTTCGGGCTGGCCTTGTCGTCAGAGTGCCCTCGAGTTAGAGTGCATCGAAATGTGGCGAGGCGCCATGTGGCGCTGGAGATAAAGCCGAAGGGAACTAATGGTGTGATCTCGACATGCTTCCGGATAGTTCTGCTATCGTTCTGGTACGACGGCCTACTTTGCCACGGCTGATGACGGTTGGAGGGTGCTTGTCAAGGGGAGAAGAATTCGGCACCTTGCTCGGCGCAGAGCGCAAATAGCCTCAATTGGTGTCCATGCTCTGTCAAGGGTGTGCAATTGCCCTCAGTGGTCCCGACAGTGGTCAGTGTGACAAGCTGGTCATGCTGCGCAGGGGCCAATAGTACTGCAACACTTCCTCGGTATGTCGTAGATAAAATGAGGATTTAAGAAGATGAGTCTATGCATTGTATAGCATTTCGCTTTGATATTTTGACGGAATACCAAAGTTATCCACACGCAATGCTAGGATGCTGGCAACGGAAGGAGCGATGAAAACCCAACCGAGCTCGTTCAGGCTTTGGTCTGCCGTGCATTATTCTGTAAGCACCAGTGACACCGTTCCTTTGCTAGGAAAATGCAACCCCCGCAGAAAATAGCAGCACCGGTGCGACGTTAGACGTGGTCGTTCCAATAATTCATCGACAGTGCGCGGGTAGGCCAGAACCTTTGAGCTACTAGCATTGGTGAAGGCTGCCACACGAACGCCATCGGCAAGCGCCACCCGGCAAAATGAGCGGGGTGGCTCTTCGCGAACGAAGCCAAGCGAGCACTCGGCTACGTCTACAAAGCAGTACTCAAGGTCCATCTTAATTCTCCCCCATAGCACCTCACTATTTCAGCAGCGAGATTCCCCGACGGTTTGGCCTATACACGCTCTGTGGACGCATTATTCATGGCCCAGCTATCGTTGATTCCGGGGTATGCCATGTGACATATCTGATCAAAGATGGCGCCGCCGCCGCCGCCGCCGCCGCGACAACAACAGCCCAAAGTTCATCCTCAGTACGCTTTGTCGCATCATCCGGATCTAGCCGTGGATGATTGGACCGTCAGGGATCATCACTCTTCCGAGTCCAACGGCGGTGATACCGCAGTGTTCCCGACTGCTGAGACCGGTGACTTGTTTTATAGTCGCCCTGGGAAGCGGCCCTCTGCCCGAGGAGCCGCATTCTACCCTCGGAAGCGTGCCATTACTGCATGCCAGGTCTGCAGAGCACGCAAGACCAAGTGTGACAACCAGAAGCCTAGCTGCTCATACTGCTTGAGCGTTGGCGCAACTTGCATTCAATCTCCTGTCGACCTCTCTAGCTTTGACCCTGCCAGCCTCAAGATACTGGACCGCTTAGACGATCTGGAACGTCTGCTCCGCACCACTGGTGCTGCTACTGAACTTGCGATATCACAAGCACCGCCAATTCCCCAAGCCTCGCCACTAGCTTCGTCTGCTGGCATTCTTGGAGATGGCAATCATGCATCATATCCCGCTCATTTCCAAGTTCAGCAGCTCGACAGTTGTCATATTCCACGATCAAACCAACTCACCAAGAATAACAGCCAGATCTCCAATGCGCGAGTGGAAGAAGATCTACCACTAGACAGTGTCTTGCCAATGCGTATCGACCGTATCTTAGAGTGGCCAGTCTTTCACAGCACCAGGTCCCAAGCTGCTCCAGTCTCTCGAGCACAACGAGATGCCATGACATCTCCTGCCGGCGGGGCCGCGTCGTTGGCAGCCCTGGTGGATATCGAGTCTCACCGCATGTACAGGCTCCTGGACAGCTTTTTTCTTTATATACACTGCAAGAATCCCATTTTAGATGAGAGGTCTGCAAGAAGAATGGCCGGAAAGGCCTTTTTAGATGGTATTGATTGGTCGCCGGCTTCGTGTTTGGCAATGATCATATGTGCGCTGGGCTGTATAGCAACGCCCTTTGGTCCGAGCCCAGAGACAAAAGTAGGCACACAGGCATATGCTGATTCTCAGGTCTTCTTTCAGGCAGCCCAGAAACGCATTGGCATCCTGCTGACCAGATCGGATATAATCAGTGCGCAATGTCTGTTCCTTTCTGGAGTCTACATGATGATGGTTTTCCAGCCCATCTATGCGTGGCGATTCTTCTCGCAAGCACTAGCCGCATGCCAACATTTTCCCTTTCTAGCCAAGGCCCAAGATATGTCAATAGAAGCCGTATTATCTCCAGGATCAAGGGAGATGGGCAAAGAGATGGGCAAACAAGACACTCAAGAGCAGGCTGTCTATTGGTCCGCTTGGAAATCAGAACGGGAGCTGCGGGGAGTGCTGTCCTTGCCAGATTTTGATATTCACCATCCGGGCAATACTCTCTACCCCCCGTTCTTCCCTGCACCTCCCGTGCTTCCGCCAGGATCTGCCGGTGGCCCAGATTCAGAAGCCCTGCGCTCCAGGGCATCATGGCTCTTTTATTTGGCAGAGATATCACTCCGACGTTTGACTAGCCGCCTTTGCAGCGAAATGCTAAACTTGCGGCAACGCTACTCATCAAATACAACTTTTTTGGATGTACTGGCGGATATGACGCCAGAGTATGAGGCACAAGCAGAGGAATGGTCTGAGAGTCTACCAGAGGAGTTGTCGGTACGCACTGCCATTGCGGAAGATGATATTGCCAAGTCTGTCCTACGAGGTAAGCTCATAAATCTTTACGAGATAATTTATTGGCCATTCGTCATGGCGAGTTTGAGTGCATTGTCCGGTGGACGGGTGATGAAGCCCCAGCTGGAAGAGCTTGTCAAACGCGGCCTGGACACACACATGCATCAAATCCATGCCAATGAGCCAGGATTCTTCCATCGACACCATGGAGGATTTTTCATGATCAGAGCTTGCACCCGCAGTGCGTTAACACTCGTGGCGGCTGCCAAGTCTGGAAGTACAATACCGCCTCATTGGGACGAGGCGGTTTGTAAGGTTATCGGCATGTTGGCATACTGGGAGGAGGAAGACCGAGACGTTGGCCGATGGAAATCAATAATAGAGCGCGAACTTGCCTTACTTCGCGAGTGATTAAATGCCAGGCTCGTTGAGGTGCGTCGCCTTTTTTGCGAGAAGTTACTCTGTCAAGGCAAATACTTGACCTTCAGACCTGCAGAGAGATGAAGCGGAGTAATGGAGCATCATATATACACAAGCCAGACCACACGCTATCCCAATAGATGGGAATATTTCCCAGTTGCGTACATATCAGTAAATCGAGGGGGTCGGCAAACAAGGATTGTGCGGGAGGGGTTCCTCAAGTGGAGGACGAAGTTGAGTTGCTCAACGTTTCAGCATGGGTTGGGTGGCATCGTTCCCATCCTCGGAACTGGATGTGACTTTATACCCAAGACAGCTATTCGTGTACTTGACTTGTTTCGCTTGCAAACAGCATCAGCACAGAGTATATTCCCTGGAACTCCATGCGGCGTTGTCAGTTGGCTGCTTTAGTGTATTAATGCACAGGGAGTGTCGTGCGTATCTCTTGCAATTCCAACCTGATTCGAATGTCTAGGGACACACAACATGTGGGCAAAAGAGGCCATGGCAGGTAGCGACTTGTCTGTGTAGTCTTGCTGTCAAGCCGACTTTGGGACGAGAGAAAATTGACGAGCGCAGTATATAAAATACCATTCTACCATATCAGAATACGGATGAAAACAAGCGTCATGGGTGTCTCCAGTGCATGAAGCATACCCAAGCAAGACTCTTCTTCTGGAACGTATACACATCCGCCTCAGCACGCCTGGGCCATCACTGCAGCGGAGGAAACGGCCTCACGAAATGGCTGGGACACTCGTACCCACCACGGTTCTTATCCAGATACTCTTGATGATACTCCTCGGCGGTCCACCACCTGCCGGCGGGCGCAAGCTCGGTGACGACGCCCCCCTTCCACCACTGCTCGTTGACCTGCCTCGTCACCTCCCTCGCCACCTTCTCCTGCTCGGCGTCGTGGAAGTAGATGGCGGACCGGTACTGCGGCCCCGTGTCGGGGCCCTGGGCGTTAAGCGTCGTCGGGTCGTGCATCTTGTAGAAGAACTCAAGCAGCTGGCGGTACGTGACCTTTTCCGGGTCGAAGATGATTTGCGCGGCCTCGGCGTCTGAGGGGGAAAACCCGTCTGTTAATTTCTTTCTTTCTTTCGTTCTTTATTTTGGTCAGGGGGGAAAAGGGGGGGGGGACAAGACGCACGCCCGGTTTTACCACCGCACACAGCACGGTACGTCGGGTCGCTCAGGTCGCCGCCTATGTAGCCGACTTTGGCGTCGAGCAGGCCCTTGCCCGCAAAGTGGCGCCGGTACAGGTGCTCCGTGCCCCAGAAGCACCCGGCCGCGACGGTGCAGCGCTGCGCGCCCTCGGGGACGGCGCCCGGGGCCGACGAGGAGGATTCTGGCGCGACGGAGAGTCGTGTGGATTGGGTGAAGGGGCGCGCGAGCCGGGCGATGAAGGATGGGAAACCGGACATGGCGGGTTCGGGGCGTGTCGAGAGGTTTGAGGAACAAAGTCGAGCGGGGGGGCGTTGCGGGCTGCAAGTTCTGCTCGGGTGTCAACGCTGGGGCACGCGCTGCCTGGCGGTTGAAGCTGCTGATTTATAGAAATCGGCCATGAGGGCAAGGCAAAATGGTTGCGGTCCTTGGTCGGCGGCGACGGCGGGGTTTGACGTGATGCTGTGCCCCGCCGAAATGACAAATCTTGAGCTTGCCCATGCGCAACGTCGTCAATGACGGTTTTGCACGCGGGGCAGGCTCGGTGCTGGCTGGCTGGTGGTGGCGGGGCTCCCGGGATTCCAAAGAGGCCAAGCACCGATGACGAGTTTATCCGTGGCCATGACCATCGGGTTTGGAATGCCTCTGGTATTGTAAATGGTCGAGTTGGCGAAAAGGATATCTTCATATCATCGCAGGTGCGCAGACATCTTGCCACCTCATGTGCCCTGTGCGAACGAATGCATTGACAAACTACATTGACTGCACCCTGGGGCGAGTTGTGTCATCCATCCACGGTGCCCAGATGAAGTCAGGCTCGAGGTGACATGCGTTAAAGGAAACACGGTGGCTTCGCCATGAGAAACAGAACCCCGGGTTCCAATATCGTAGGGACAAGAGTCCATCAGATTTCGTAAATTGATTTGTCCCATGGTTTTATTTTCTACATAATACAACCGAGCTGTACCACTGAGAGGAGTTGGCCTCTTCATTACCCCAATACTCAACAAGGTATCAATATTCTAATTCACATCTTTTTCCAGCCCCTCCAGCCCCTCCATCGCATCTTTCTTCGTCTACCTTCATTTCATCTTGCGCATTTACTTTCGGCGGTTCTGGTTCATCATCAAGATCTGAACCATGCGCACGAAAATGTTCAAAAAGTCCAGCTCCAATGAGATACTCTCGTTCACCGGGTCGCGCTTCATCAGGCCAGCCTGCGCCATACGCGCGTGGTACAGCACCTTTTGAACATCATACAGCGTAAACCCGCCAAAGACGGCCAATCCACCGTACAGCCAGATGTTCTCAGTGAACGCCAGCGTGCGGACAGCCGTGGCAGGGATGAGCAGCGGAGCGAAACCAGAGACGGCGACAATGGCAGCACCAGCCAGGAGAGGGCCGCCAATGTACAAGTACTTCTCTTGCTTGGCGGTCGCACCAACAATAGAGAGCGCACCCATCATGGCGGCGGTGTAGAGACCAGCGCGAGCGAGGAGAGGTACCGGAACGAAGGCCAGGAGAGGGGCGACGAAGGCGGCTTGCGTGGCGTTGAAAGCGGTCCAGAGAGCGTACTTGGGGACGTAGCTACAACCATGTTAGCAAAGACATATTCATCCGTGCGTGCACACTCCGGCTCAACTTACTTGTCAGGGCTGATGGAACGAGTTCCAATCATGGTGGCAAAGCTCAGTGCCAAACCACCCAATCCCACGACCCAAGGGTTCGTCACCATCAACCGGTAGACGAATCCACTCTGAACCATCTGCCTCGCCGTCAAACCAATGATACCGATACCCAATCCCGTATGCAAGAAGGTGTTGTTCAGGTACTCCCGCTCGTACAGCGGCATGCCGCCATCGTCTCTCGTCTCGCGGTTGAAAACAGCATTGATGGCCACAAGAGTACCGCCGAATATGGCACCGCCCACCAGCAGCTTGCGCATACCAGTACCGCTGGTAGCCCGTTGCGTAGCCTCCTGGTAGTATGAGCGGCTGCTGCCGCGGGCAAAGGCATTCCGGGCGGCGATTGACGAGACGCGCGACGTGAAGAAGTTGGTCGTGGGCTTGGCGGGCGTGTGGAGGCTTCGGACGGACGCGGCAGATCGCAACGCAGTCTTGGAGAGTTCGGGCAGCCGTTGCGCCAGGCGCAGAGGGCTTTGCCGTACACTTAGAGTGAACGACATGACGGACAGCAATAGTCTGATGTCGCAGTGTGTTGTGTGTTGTGTGTGATGAGGGTGTCGATGCAAGCAAACAAAGGAAATAAGTTGTCGGAGAGCAGATGTAGATGAGGGTTTGCGGACTTGGATTCCAGTCCAGCTAGAGAGAGGGAGGCTGATAAAGCATGACGTGCGGCCGGGGTTTGGCGGACTTGATTAAACTCCAAAGTCACGTGGAGAACTGGAACTTGGTGGAACCTTCCGGGCCAATCTCGCCACTGGCAAGTTGCGCATTACAAGGACAACCGGATGAGTTCACTGATACTATGCACCTAGGTTGTTACTAGTACGGAGTTACTAGATCCAGAATTATTAATAATATGTGAGATATAGAGCTGCCGTTGTTCGTTATAGCTTTCTAGTGTTTAACTGTAGTAGGTCTCAGAGAGCCTTGATTTGATGTTGATGGTAGGAAGCTCTTGGGTGGCGAAGAAACAGCAATTAAAAGAGGAATGGCCCAAAAGAAAGCGTCGATTTCGCTCAGTTTGGAGGCGAAGCAAACGCCGCTCGCCTTTGATTCACCACTAGTGATGCTGCAAGTCCCCATTTTCACTACAAGATTAAAAATGGCCAGTATCTCTATGCATAACTCTCGTCCAAAAACCTTATTTCCAGACAGCTGCAGCCATCTCTCAATGTATAGAACATTTGCAACATCAATTGGTCTCGACATATTCTCCTTATCCAGGAATAGGAAATAGAAACGAAACGCCGGGGATTCACCATGCAGTCGCCGCCATCCAATAAGGCTCATATTTAGCCGAGGCGTCGTCCTAATCCCAAACAATGTACAAAACTCCGGTGCCTGTGCCTATAATTGTACCCAACTTCAGAGATTGAGTCCTCCTCCCCCTCAGATGCTGGTGTCGTGTATGAATGAGACTTGCCAGTCTCTACCTAAGTCCCTGAACGCCTTTTTCAATGATAAATCGCACTGGCTGCCTTGCTCGTCGGCCCAAAAAGCCCAACCCAGATCGAGGCAGGAAGCTCGGGGTGGTCAGCATGGCTACGCTCATCGTCTTTGGAGGCGGTATTTCTCCAATGCCTTCGTGAGCTGCTGCAGCCCAGAGTTCCGTGGGCACCACCGGTTTTGTGGTTCTATCGTCGAAACCCCATTTGGCGATACTCCCGGCTCGGAGCCAATGCTCAAGATTGCGGCACTGGCTCACGTCAGTCCACTTGAGACGCGTGCAGCCTCGTAAAATGTTCTCCAAGCCCTTGCCAGTGACCCGCACACACCCGCGAACACTTAAACCCTCCAGCTCATTGAGATGTAAAGCGATACTTTCCAAGCTCGCATCACTCACAGCACTACCGCAGAACGCCATCCTCAATTCACGAAGCAATGGAAGCCCCAGAGCAACAACCTCAGTCGAAGTGTCTGACAACGCACAGCAGAACGACAAATCCAAGTGCGTCAAATTCTTCGCCGCGTTGACAAGAGCCACAATTGCATTATCCGATAAGTATGTGCAATCGGCCAGGCACAAATGGGTAAGCTTTTCGAATCTGTACTGTGCCCAAGACTGGAAGCCAACGTCTGTGATGGATGTGCAACGAGTAAGAGTCAATGAGCGTAAGCGATCAGATGCATGCGCAGCCAAATGCGCCATTGACCGGTCTGTGATATGTTTGCAATACGAAAGATCCAGCCTGTTGAGCTTGGGGCATCCGATGACGGTTCCTGGAGGGGGGTTATTGGCAGTTGGTGGCTTTGCTTTCGCTTCTTGTTGTTGCCTTTTTTGTGTTGGGGTAGAAACGACAACGTTCTTCTTCACCGTAGGAGACTCTGGGACTACCCATCCGACCACACGGCCTAGTAGGTTGTCTCCGACCTTTCGACAGTTACTCCAATCCACCTCTTCCAGCTGTTTGGCATTTTCACTCATTTCCAGAATTTGATGGGCTGAAACATCCCACACTGATCTCATTCGCCACCTCTTGATATTCTTGCCGCATTGTCGCCATAGGATTGCAAATCCCTCATCCGTGACATGAAAACAATTATTCAGATCCATAGAAAGGGCTCTATTTCCAATAAAAGGAGCCAAAATATGGATGATGGAATGGTCAGTGACATGGCGATTGTAATGTGATAGGTCCACATCATTACACACTTCGGGGGACGTGGCCAGAAGTTGTCTCCAATGGCTGCTCACAATTCGGAGGCGAATCAGCTCGCGAATATCCAAGTGCTTGAATATCCGCACCAGAATCTCGTCTGAAAGAGGAGGTATGGCTGGTGGGGAGAGAGATCGACTCGTGGCTGTTCTCGCTCGTTTCGCCGGCACCCCAGACTCAGAAGATGTCTCGCTAGAGCTAAATTTGATTGGAGTAAGATCGATGATAGACGGCCTATAGCCATTTTGTCGACCTGCTGCTAGGCTTTCTGCTTGAGGGGTCGGCGGTGCAAGCGAATGTCGCCTCCGGTTCCGCAAGTTCTCCATGTTGACACTTAGGAACGGATCTGGGTCTTTAAGCTCCATAATCTCGGAGTCATCTTTGCTTGGTGACCCTTGACTCGACGGCGTGGAAAAGGTAAGGTTGGGCAAGATGCCTCTAGTGGGAGTGCTTGGTGTTGAAGGACTCGACGTAGTGAGAGCCTTTATTTTACTATCGTGGCCCGTCATATCGACATCCTCGTCCTGCGTTTTTAGTCGCAGCTTGGCCGTCTTTTCAACTTGATACTTGATGCCAGGCGGGCAGCGCCGCCACAACTCCTCCAATACCTCACCGGGGACCATGAGGCATTCCACCGTTGTAATAGACCGTACAGTTGCCGTCCGCCCAGGAGACAGCCCTAGGCTTGCTACTTCCCCAAAGTACTGCCCAGCTTTCAATCGTGGCCTGTGCTGTATTGATATCGTGGCCTCTTCGGAGGCATCCTGTTCTTTTCGTTGCTCGTGGAATACTTCGGCCTCTCCCTGCACTATGAAGTAGATTTCATTGCCGGGGGTGCCTTCGCAGATTATGTCGGTAAACGGATGGTACGTCTTCGGTTGTACACTGAGACCCAGGAAGTGAAGGATATCGGGTGGT